ATGCAAGTATGAATGATCTGCAAAGGAGTAGGCCAAGTAAGACCCCTTTTTGGCCCCAAAATATAGCATTATTACAAATTTGTTGAAATGTAAACTTTTAGCTATTTATTGGAAAGTAGAATACTTATGTTCCATAAATATGAGCTGTTTTTGACAATACAATACACATGCATCATGTACTAGCATCATAAATTCATGCAAAATTACTGCAATCTTCACAATTCAAGCATTTGTGCTAATTTTAAGACGGCTTTTGTCTAAAATGGAAGTGGCCGCATTTGTGTTCAGTCTTTATATTGAAATATATGTTGTATTTGATGATACTACAAAACATATATAAAGGTTGAGACTGAACGTGAATGCGGCCACTTACATTTTAGACAAAAACCATCTGAAAAGTAACGTTTTATGGCATATTAGATATGTTTCTCATATTAAAGCAACAATTTGAGCGTCTTTAATGACCACATCGGTTCAAGTCTTCTACATAAACTAATTGAATCGACTGAAGTAGACACTTAAATGTTGAGATGTATGTGAAACGTACTTTAAGTATAATACAATTATTTTTTCACCAACAGAGAAGTATAAAAAGTAAAATGACAAAAATACCGAACTCCAAGGAAAACTCAAAACGGAGAGTCCCTCAACAAATGTCCATAACCAAAAGCCCAAATACGCATCATTTGGAATTCATGGAGTCGTTTTCTCTTTATATATGTATGAACATATTCTATTCAGAGATTCAAGTCTTTAATTATATATATATTTTTTATGATAGTGATATCTGTAGTCGAAAAAGAGGCTGGAGATACCAATGGAACATTCAAACTAGAAAGGCGTATCTGAGGCAATACACATGGTGCCATTGAATGTTATTATTGCTTCCATGTCTATGAAGCGAAGGAAGAACTCATCTTTACAAAATATTACAATTAAACGAAATCCATCAAGCAGAGCAAGATAACTTGTTGATCTAGCTTAATGTCTACTTCCAAATTGTGTATTTAGTGTTCTTTTCGCATGAAAGACCTATTATAATATTGTTGTAAGAGTAACGTTACTATTTTAACAGTTGCATAATTCTTGTTTTAAACTAGTAAATATGAAAATAATTTGTATGCATGTTCTATGTCACTTCTTATTATACGTTCTAAAAAGCAGGTTATTTCAATAACAGTCAAACATCTATGATAAATAAAAACACATTTAGCCTCAAGAAAAACAGATAATGAATTGTATTTTTGCATGACGTTACTGTTACTATTAAGTAGGTAAATATGTGATTTTAATTAAAACAGACAGGGAGAAATATGTAAGGGTGCGAGTGAATGAACTAGTTGTAATCCGGATTAAAATATATCGTAGTTATAGTGCAGGGTCGCATATGCAAAAAAAATTTTCACAATTTAAAAAAAATTGTATTCATGTACTCTTTGATCTTAGTCAGACTTAAAACGTTGAATGTATTGCGTTAAAATAAACATTGCAAACTCGCAAAGCACGAATATATATATGTATATATATATATATATACTTTATACCGTGATTTGAGCTATAAAACTACAGAAGAAGAAACAACATAATTTTAAAATGGCTCTAGTTGATGGTATCATCATTTTGTGTTTACTGTTTGCAGATGCAATTGCTGTCTATTAAAGGGGATAAACGTGATGCAAATGTGAAATAATTAAAACGAATTGTAAAATTTTTAGTCATTACCCAAAATACAAATATTCGATTTATAGTCTTCTTTATTTTCTGAATACGGGCTATTTGCTTGCAGATTTTTTTATACTTTTTCTTGAACGGGTAAGTACTGGTGATTTAAATGTAATGATCAAATTATGAAATTATAGTAAAAAGGGATGGTATGTCGTTAATGGCAATTGCCAAACATCGAAAGCTTACCAAACATTTCACCCCGAGAGATATTCCAGTGGCTCATTACATGTTAAAGTTACCGTATAGAGGTTTATTTTCGTCGGGTGTTTATTTTCGCTTATTTTGGCGGATAAATAAATCGCGAAAATACCTTCAAATCTATATATTACCAAATCATATGTTCAATAATACATACATTTTTCCCATTGAAAACCTTAACAGTACTTAAACAATATTGATATGATAGAAACACTTGAAGCCAAAACTGTTGGTATTATCACTCCTTATTAATTATTCGTGATACTTCTAGAGTATTGGAAAGTAAAGTGTATCGCTGGCTCTGAAGAAAAAACTCATCAAAGATATTGGTACGTCAGACGGACGTTTTTTTTCTACATAAGACTTATCACTGACGCTCGAATCAAAACGCTTGTAAGCAATATAAAATGAGAAGTCGTATAGTCAGCTTCTTTTGAAAATAATCTTTTTGTTAGATATATTTTATTTAATCATCATATTCCTTCCAGTAATTATCACATTTCAATGATTTGTGTTACACTTGAAGTTCGTTTGCTTATTCAACTGTTACACACTAAATCTATTATTTGAAGTTATGAGTATATGTTATAGGTTGAAAATATTTATATTTAATAGTCCTATTCACAGTTTCTAGAAGAAGATGATATATATAATATTGCAAAATAAGTTTAATGGTCTAAACATGGACTACCGACGAGGAGTATATTATTTTTTGTTGTATCTTTGTTACACAATTACATTTTGTTGGCAACGTTATCGGATTTTTTCTAAACGTTTCTGTTTGAACTGAATTTATATGCTTTTACTGATTTTTTTTAATGTGTATTTTTGTATCAATTTGGCAATGCATGAAATGATTGAAAGTTACATTTTATACTAAAATGTTTTGCTTAAGATTGCAAACGATAGTCCAAAATCATCGCTTATTGTTGGTGAAAAGCAATTGAGTTATGGTTTTGTAGTTTGTATTTATTTAACTTATCGTTTTGCTTATTCTCTTCTTCTATTTCTTCCCCTTTTTGTCTCGCTTTGACGGAGTCAGAAATCGAGATATAGGCATGCTGTTTCCAGCGTCGGCGTCGGTGGCGTCGTCAACAATGTATTAGTTTATGGGGAACCACAAGTGGTACATGTAGGTCAATGATATTAGTATTTAGTTGTATAACCCCGGGCACATCTCATTTTCATTGTGATTATTTGGTCCCGCCCACTCAATCATGGTCTATCGACTTTGAAACTTTTGCTTAGTCTACACGTATTAGTCTGTGGTTTAGGTCAGTTTATGGGAAACCACTAATGGTAGGTCAATGATATATGAAATGTAACTGTATTAGCATTGGAACATCTCATTTCTATGATTATTTGACCCCGCCCCCTCAGTCATGGTCTACTGACTTTGAAATTTTTACTTAGTTTACATGCATTAGTTTTTGATTAGGTCAGTTCATGGGAAACCACTAGTGGTAGGTGAATGATGTTTGGTCTGTATGTGTATTAGCATTGGCACATCTTATTTCCACGGGGATCGTTTGGCCTTGTACCGTCAGTTATAGTTAATCTACTTTGAAGATTTTGCATAACTTACAAGTTAAAGTATTTGTATTTTAATTTCAACATTTGCATTTTACTATCAAAATAACAACAAGGCGAGACATATCTCTGAGTCAACAGTTTATGGAACAAATTGTATAAATATCGAAATCGTACAGAACAGTCAAAATTAAGACAATCAGTTAGTTCATCGATACTGACATTATTTATAACATACCTTTCTCAAGTTCTTCCCTGACAAATTTAAAAGTTTTTTAGAAACTGAGGATCCAAATATCTTATGCAAAGTTGACCTTAGATAAATTAAGCTATTCTTTTGATGTTCCGTTTTGTCATACAGCTCTTTACATTTTCATTTTTACACATCATTAGCTTTCTATGTTTTGACGTTTGACCTCACCAAAAACTAGAGGTGATCTCAAATGAGCTGGAAGGAAACAGATGCAGCCTCACTGGTGTTACCCGTCATTTTGATCAAGTACAAATATGGCGAAAAGTCTCATTCGTTAATACCACATTTTATGAAAGGAAGACGGGATTGTGGTTACGACATTTGGAATATATTCATGGTCAGCGGTGACAAAGAGCAACTCGTGATTGCGTCCGTAAAACATTTCATACATATGTTTTTACATACAACATACACTATTTTTTATTAAACACATTGATACATACTTTATTAATTGGAATACATACATAGTTTTAAAATGGCTTGTTTTTGTTTGAATTCATGTTGCTCAGTTGTTCTGTGAAGTATTTTGTGGACTTCTGGTTTTTTCGTCGTTATATTGTTTACCATCTTGGTGTATGTTTTTATTCAACATGGGATTTTGTTCCTCTTTTTATCAATCTTATACGATAATCTGATCTTTCTTATATTGAATTTTCTTTTCAATAGGAGTAATATGTTCGTCTCGCTTTCCTTTGATGGTTACATATATTTTTTATACTTTATCTTATACGCGAAGCAAGTAATTTATTACGATGCGTTTCGAAAGAAAGTACAAATTTATTATTACCAAAGTTATGTAATAAAGTTTCATCATAACTGATATGTTTATGGCCACTGTAACAAATGCATGGACCGTTAAACGTATAATAGATATTCACGTGTATTATTTAAATATAACCTTATTTGTGTTACAAAGGAAGCTTTTACAACAGGTCTGCAAATTTAATGAAGGCACTGTTTATATTTTGATTCACTAGTATACATTTGTTGAGTCTGGAGGGCTTCTGGATTTACCGTCGTGAGAAAAGTTTAAACTCAGAATTGTGAAAGCCAAGAATGTATAAGTATTTTAATACACGGGAGGAATTATATATACTTCAACCTGTGGGTTTACGTCCACAATTTTGAAAATTGTTTTAATATTTCCTTGACGTTTACCATTTTCTCCTTATATTATCCGGTATTGTTATCTGTGTTGCCCCTTGCATCCGGTGTTTTCTGCATAGTAACATACATAATATCCGGAGTTTACCACAAAATCACTTGCATTAGCATCTGGAGTTTTATCACTCATCGGTGGTAAAATGCTGATTTATTTAAAAATACAATTTTGCCAGCTCAGCACAGGAAGATATATAAATAGCCCTTTTATGTTTGTTTTGTAATAGTGTGCATTCACAACGCCGAATATATTGTTGTACAGTACTGGAAATAAAATGAGAGTGACGTTTATTTGTAGCTGTATAGCTCTATTGTGTTTGATATATCTGTATGGAAACGATGCTTATACTACAGGTACTTTTCTTATTAATCATAAATAATACAATGTATTTTTGGGGTTTAAAGATATCAAATTACTTCATTTAACATTACCTATCCTCTTGGAAACTTTCTTTCCGTGACTATGATGGTCTGTGGTTCCTAATTTAAGATGCATGTCTAAATTGATTCGATGTTAGGCTTTATGCTGTGATGGTTGGGATTCACTGATTGTCATATATAATGGTACGCACCTTTGAAAAGAAACTTGGTTGAAATGGCAGATTTTTTATAATCTCTGTTACATTTACGCACAATTTAGATTAAGAGTTTATCATCAAGTAAAGAAAATTGTCTATTGTTTGAATCCATTAAAATCATCATTTTTATCATATTTAAATCAATTTAAATTGAGGATTTATATCTTTATTTCTACCTACCTCGTGCATAATTCTGATTCATTGTCCGAGTTTGGCTTTCCTGTTGGTGCCTTTTTCATCGGCCCTTTGACGTAAGTAGTAGGTTAGTGATTTTTAATATCGAGTATCACTATAGAGACATAAATCATCGAAATATGCATCTGTTGCAGTAAAATTAGTATCGTAAAAAAATATGCAGAATATTTTTTTCTTAATTTCATTCAGACACTAATTTTGGTTCTTATTTCGTTTTATACTTTTTTTCAGAGACTGTCTGTCAAAGGGAGTTGAGACTTGTTAGACAAAATCCAAAACCAGGCGCAAGAAAACCAAACTGTGATTCCGACGGAAACTATGCCCCAAAGCAATGTTCAGGTTCAGTGTAAGTATATTAAAACTATGGTGGACTTGTTGCCACCGACGTTAAATCTGTTTTTAATTACTGGTAAATAAATAATGTTACGGTTTTAGGACACAAAATAAATTAACCACCATTCTAGTTTTTAAGATAGAAAGCCAAATGTTCAGGTTCAGTGTAAGTATATTAAAACTATGGTGGACTTGTTGCCACCAACGTTAAATCTGTTTTTAATTACTGATGAATAAATAATGTAACGGTCTTAGGACACAAAATAAATTAACCACCATTCTAGTTTTTAAGATACAAAGCCAAATATCTTTGCAGTAAAAATTCATCAAAGATCCGTGCATGTATTGTCCAGTTGTTTATATGCCTGTCGATACAGTATCCGCACATGTCCTAAAGTCATATAAAACATGTTTATCCAAAATTATAACGTTAAGGAAATTATGGAACCAGTGACTGTGTATATACTAAACTAAGTCCTTTACGCAAGATATTTTAGATGTATTAATCCATAACATATAATCGATAAAAAATATTTCATTCAGTGAAAACTTTGCCTTTAAATTAACTTACGTGTTTTATTGCCGAAGTTTACATAACATGACCTTCATAAACCACCGACAAATAATCATGGAGCACGTGAAAAAAAGTGAGATAAAATACATGCAATAGATCTAGACCGATGTTTATTTTTTTCATATTTTGCATGCGTTGATATTTGTGAACATAACATTGTCATAAAAGTTGTTAAATGATTTGGTGAATTATTTTTGTGCTTTCAAAATCATTTAACACTATCTTACTTTAACTATATTTCACGTTTGTTTACCTTTTCTTTCATCACGGTTTTTCCCTGGCACTTGCGCTGTACGGTAGCAGAAATACTGACGAGAGGTCTCGTGGTTAAGGTCAATGCTTACAGAAAAGATAAAGGATTTTCTTTTAAAAGAAAGTCCATTTTTACGTTTTTATAGTAAAACCTATTCACCCAAGTAAATATAACATATTCAATTTTTGTTTTGAATTTGAAGCATCATATGACTTTAATATAGTTGTTCCAAAATATAAATAGAGACTATATCTCTTAACTTGTTTTTAATAGTACAATATCTCAATTTGTGTATCCCAATTCCATCTATACAAATCATGGTGCTGTTAAAATTATTGTTTACGATTTTTTACGATTAAGTGACCTTGTCTATTAATTTGTCTATTTAGATCAAATGCTGCGAACCTACATTCATTTACGACGTCATGCATACAATTCTAAGGATCGCTTAGTCTAAGTAACAAAAGAGCCTTATGTCGCCAGTTAATATAAGAATAAGAAGATGTGGTATGATTGCCAATGAGACAACTCTCCAACACAGACCAAATATTTCAAAAGTAAAAAACTAAAGATCACCGTACTACCTTGAACAATGAGCAAATGCCATACCACATAGGAAGCTATTAAAGGTCCGGAATGACAAATATAAAACACTTCAAACCAGAAAACGAACGGCATGATTTATGTTCAAAGCAATAAACAACACTGCATTACATGCTCCTGACTTAGGACAGGCACATACAGCATGTGGCGGGGTTAAACATGTTTGCTACTGCCAAATCCTCCCCTTAACCTGGGACAGTGGTGTAACATTATAACATGATAATAACAGTATAACAGTATAACAGCTCATCTCATTTAGGTGTAAAGCTCTATAGTTAAACAACTACTCATAGTGTAAAATGTGTCATCTAGATGTTATTAACGTGGTTTTGTTTGACAATAAATATTTGCTGTATTAAAATTTCTCTTTCTATAAATAAAAGGATTTTTTTTTGGGGCATTTCATTTTCAGGTGTTATTGTGTAAAGAAAGACGGATCTCAGATTAGCGAGTATACTTCTCACATTGGAGATTCAGCACAGCAAACTTGCAGTAAGTATTTTATTTACTGAGGTATCAATGAGTTAGCATAGGATAGTATACGTTGTTTTTGCTATCATATTGTTCAAAGTATTGAGAAGGAATGTAAACCATCTCTGACCACATCATTGTAAATAAAGACCATAAATACATTTAATGTAAGGAATAAGAATCATCGCTGACCACATCTTTGTAAAAATAGCATAAATACATTTAAATACAAAATTGTAACATGACATTAACTCCACACTTTGTATGATTTTTTAGTCAGCTGTCAACATGAAAACATTTATTAAACAAAATGAGGGTTCAATCAAGGCACCAGCTTGCTTTCGAATTTCGAGGGAAACGATTAGATATTTTTTACTTACCCCACAGTTACATTTGTCTCACGCAGAGTTCATTCAATGCAGTTTTCACGATTCTATATACTGTTGTTTTCAGAAGTACAGGAGTCAGACGATAGCGTTGCATTGTTGTTTTTGTTTTTTTTGTAATTTTCTTCCAGAATGTGCACGTGACTCTGACGAATTTCTTTCATCTGGAATGGTTGGAAAACTGTTCAGCTGTCAATCTGATGGAAGTTATGATCCTGTTCAATGCTATTTTGGGCCAATGTGTTTCTGTGTAGACGAGGATGGAAAGACAACTGGAACAGACACTGTTCCTTACAGTCAAAAGAACAAGATGAACTGTTGAATACCGAGATGCTTTGAAATTTATAATATGCTTTATTATAAAATACTTGTGAAAAGCCTTGAACATTCCAAATTGGTTCAATTGACTTAAACTTCTCATTGTTGAAGAAACGGCAACTTTCAACAAACAGCAGTAGACAGTAAATTGATTATCTGAGTTTTATCTCCTTCCTCTTAAGATGAATAAAAGTTCTTTACATTGTTTGTGTTAAAGTATCTAGAGGTGGATCCAGGTGATGTCAAAGGGTGCACGTGACACCCGCCTGAGGTTAGCCAAACAGTTGGACCCTAAAGAGTATAATTCAAATTTTGATTAATTAACCAATAAGTATTATCCCTAATAATATACTTGTCATTCTATATCAAATACAATCGATGTATCTTCATGCAGAAAATATGTGCCTCTTATGTGACCTAAGCCTCTTTCCTCTTGAAATAGTATTCAAACATTTGACTTTTCTACATTTACACAAGCCTTGGAAAACTAAAAGTCAAATTGAAAGAATTTTTGTTCCTTTGTTTCATACAAAAAGAATGGCTAATACAAGTATCTTGTCTAAGAGAGGGATAAATTGTACTTTGTAAAATGTCACTCTGTTTCAAACAAAATTTCTCTGAAACTGAAACTATCGCGATGTTTGATTTTTTTCCATGTTTTTCGACGAACAATCGGTACTCCCATGATAACCAACTGTGCTTTTCTTCTTGCCTATATGTTCCATTATTCATATGAGGCTGACTTCATACAAGAGCTTCTTAAAAAGAAACGAAAAGAAGCTAGCTCTATTCTTTAAGGGCATGTTCCGCTATATAGATAATGTTCTCTCACTAAATAGTTTTGGTGACTATATTGAACTCACCTATCTCATCGAACTTGAAAAAAAGGATACGATAGATTCAATTACGTCTTCCTTATATCTTGACTGCCATATGGAAATTGACAATGAGGGTAGGTTGAGAATAAAACTTGACGAGAAAAGGGATGATTTCAGCTTCCTAATTGTGAATTTTCCATTTCAAAGTCGCAACATTCCAGCAGAATCGCAATACTTATGCGTTGAAATTTTTTTTTATCCCTCCTTGGGACTATTAAGGTTTATGACCCCGTCTAAAAAACTGTGTTTTACGAAATTTTTAACGTGCAATTATACCAAAAACAGCAAAAATACTTAATGAAAAAACCGTGTCATTCTGTACATATACACTTAATAAAAAACGTGAATTTTCTGATTTTTATAGAGGATGCACAGACTTTATTACAGAGGCTTTCTATATAACATTCTAAACATAGATACTCACTTGTTCGTCCATGTTATTCTAAGCGTTTATTGGTCAAATAATATAATTATATCATATACCATCTTTAAATTCAATAAGAAACGAGAAAACAGGCATCAGCGGAACTGGATGTATGTGAATTGGATAATTATGTTCCTTCTCAAAATTCACATTTTTCTCTCTCCAGATCGGGGGATCCAAAGTCGGCGGCCCTGGAACTATTCGTATAAACCTTCTATGTCCGAATTTAATATGTCTGAATGCTTCATACCTTGCATACACATCTCTTATGTTACAAAGTTTCCGTCTGTCTTATGTCCATTATCATTGACATCATTTTCCTGGTTCAGCGACTGCATAAAAATGTGCATTTCACACTTATTATGACTGATAAGACAACCATTTTTGATATATGTGGTCCTTGCAAGTTCTATTTGTCTGTCAGACAGGTCTACCTTACCTTGACTCCATTATATTGGTCAGACTTCAAGGTTTTTTTTCGTGGTCAATTCCGTATCTCTGATACTTTAAGTAATACATCAACTATATTTGGTATGTGGTGCATTTGACCTGACCTTATTTTCATGGTTCATTGGTCATTGTAACGTTGGTGTTGTTTAAAGCTGTAACAGCACATGAGTTTTCATTAATGAGCTCATGAAATGAGTCTTCTGCTCCCTTAATTGTCACGTTTCCACGTGAAATATTTTAACGGTGTTATAAATGTTTAACAATGTGGTAAATACATTCTTGAGGAATCGTTATCTTATAATCAAGTTAATTTGTGTACCTCTTCAGCTTAGTTCGTATACTGGGGAATTGTAATATTTTAACCAAGTTACGTTGTATACCACTACAGCTTAGTTCGTAGATTGGGAAATCGTTAACATAACTAAATTAACTTGTATACCTCTAGTATAGCTTAGTTCGTAGATTGGGGAATCGTAATCTTATAACCAAGTTAAGTTGTATACCTCTACAGCATAGTTCGTATTACCAGGTTTGTACTGATATGAGCAAAACGACGGGTGCCACATGTGAAGGAGGATCTGGTTACCCTTCCGGAGCACCTGAGATCACCCCCAGTTTTTGGTGGGGTTCGTGTTGCTCAATCTTTAGTTTTCTATGTTGTGTTTTTTGTACTATTGTTTGTCTGTTTCTGTTTGTCTTTTTCTTTTTTAGCCATGGCGTTGTCAGTTTATTTTCGACTTATGAGTTTGAATGTCCCTTTGGTGTCTTTCGCCTCTCTTTTTCGTAGATTGGGGAATCGTAATCTCATAACCTAGTTAAGTTGTATACCTATACATCTTAGTTCGTAGATTGGGAATCGTTATCTTATAACCAAGTTTTAAGTTGTATACCTCTATAGCTTGGTTCGTAGATTGGGAAATCGTTATCTTATAACCAAGTTTTAAGTTGTATACCTCTATAGCTTGGTTCGTAGATTGGGGAATCGTTATCTTATAACTAAGTTAAGTTGTATACCTCTATAGCTTGGTTCGTAGATTGGGGAATCGTATCTTATAACCAAGTTAAGTTGTATACCTGTACATTTTATTTCGTAGATTGATTACATAAACTGCTTGATAAATGAATAAGTTATTGACAATTCACTTGGAAACTCAACATATACCCCTACGACACTTACTAAAGTGGAAATCCTGGATAATCACAGGTCTGTTCTATTTTCCTTTGGAATTTCTACATAAGATGAAGAACTGGATCTTCCATCACTGTATTGGATACCTAAACTACAAAAGTGTCCTTGCAAACAACGGTATATTGTTGGGTCTTCCAAGTGCTCCACGAAACCTCTTTCTATATTATTAACATCAATTTTATCAGCAATCAAAGCCGGGCTTATGTTTATATTGTGAAACTGCCTATTCCAGAGGTGGCGTGAATCAGATGTGGATACTATAAATTTCAAAGATCTTTTGGAGTACATACAATCTAAGACTCTTTCATCTTGCAATACTAGTAGTATTAAAACATTTGACTTTTCTACACTTTGCACAAGTATTCCCCATTCCAAACTAAAAGACAAATTGAAATAGTTGGTATTGCTTTGTTTCATAAAAAAGAATGGCCAACGTAGATACATGTATCTTGCCTAAGGGAGGGATAAATCCTACTTTGTAAAAAATCACTCTGATTCAAACAAAAAATTCTTTGAAACTGACAATATCAAGATGCTTGATTTCTTGATTGACAACATATTTGTTACGTTTAGAGAACGTGTTTTTCAACAAACAATCGGCATGGGAACCAACTGTGCCCCTCTTCTTGTTGACTTGTTCCTTTATTCTTATGAGGCTGTATTCATACAGGAACTTCTTAGGAAGAAAGAGAAGAATTTAGCAGTATCCTTTAACTTTACTTTCCGCTATATAGATGATGTTCTCTCAGTAAATAATTCAAAATTTGGTGACTATGTTGAACGCATCTATCCCATCGAACTAGAGATAAAGGATACAACAGATACATTTAAGTCTGCTTCATATCTTGACTTACATCTAGAAATTGACAATAAGGGTCGGTTGAAAACAAAACTTTCCGACAAAAGAGATGATTTCAGCTTCCCAATTGTGAACTTTCCATTTCTATATAGCAACATTCCAGTAGCGCCTGCATACGGAGTATATATCTCCCAATAAATACGATATTCCTGGGCTTGTGTTTCCTATCATGATTTTCTTGATAGAGGGTTGCTGTTCACAAGGAAGCTATTAAACCCAGAGTTCCAAATGGTTAAGTTGAAATCATCCCTTCGTAAATTTTACGGACGCCATCACGAGTTGGTTGACCGTTATGGAATATCCGTTTCACAGATGATAGCGGATATATTCCTAATGTCGTAACTACAATCCCGTTCCCTTTTCACTAATGTGACCTACCGAATTAGACTATTTACCGGGTTTGTACTAACATGAGCAATACGACGGTGCCACATGTGGGGCAGGATCGACTTACCCTTCCGGAACACCTTAGATCACCCCCAGTTTTTGGTGGGGTTCGTGTTGCTTAGTCTTTAGTTTTCTATGTTGTGTTTTGTGTACTATTGTTTGTCTTTGTCTTTTTCTTTTTTAGCCATGGCGTTGTCAATTTATTTTCGATATATGAGTTTGAATATCCCTCTGGTATCTTTCGCCCCTCTTTGAGGAATCGTAATCTTATAACCTAGTTAAGTTGTATACCTGTAATTCTTAGTTCGTAGATTGAGGAGTAGTAATCTTATAACCAAAATGAGTTGTATACCACTACAGCTTAGATCGTAGACTAGTGCAATAAGGTTAGCTTATAACATTTTGATAACACAAAATGTGTTTTACTCCCTATTTTGAAAAGTTTCCCAGGAATGTATATCTTTTAACACACTATCATATACTAGTAAATTAATTTTTTTTCAACGGAAAATGTTCAGATGAGTGTTGCTTTTCATAAATTTGTGATTTCAAAACAAAACAAAACGGGGTCCTTGATAAAGAAAAAAACGGGTCTTTATATTGTAAACCTCATTGACAAAACCGGGTCCTTCCATTTTGACATGACTGATTTCTTTCCTTCCATGCATAAAAATACACCCATTGAGGTGCTCAAAGTGGATAATTCTCCAATCTCCGTGTATAAGTCTTTCATTCTGTACGTTTCTTTTCGTACAATGTGTGCAATTTTCACAAGAGAAATTCGAGTAAAGGTTCACTCTCGCCATCATTTTAACGTTCTTTTTTCTCATTTCTCTCTTTTAATCTGGAACGGTTGTAGAAAATATTTCCTCTCGCAATCAAAAATAGTGATATGTGTATTTATAATCTACAAATGTATATATAGAACTAATAAATAAAGGGAAATTCTGCATTTTCTCTGTTTGTAGGTAGTCCGTCACCGTAAGAGATATTGGATACTATTGATACGCAACATT